GGAGGCTGACGGCACCACACTCATCAGCTGACACAGGTAGGATGAGGCTGACAGCACCACCCTAAATGAACCTCATCTACCTGCCTATTAACGCTTTATACACCCGAGTTAACCCCTTAACACCACAGGTCACCGCAATGCTTAAGTCGCCACCAAAAATCACTTGATCAAATTTGCAGACTTTATCATTGCCTCTACAACTCCCACCCACATCTTAAAAAAGGTTTAGTAATAATAATAATAATAATAATAATAATAATAATAATAATAATAATAATAATAATAATAATAATAATAATAATAATAATAATAATAATAATAATAATAATAATAATAAAAATAATAATAATAATAATAATAATAATAATCGGACGTAAAGGAATAAATTACACTACATCTTGGTGCAGGTATATTGTGTATAATAATAAGGTTCTGTAGTGTAGGTCAAACTCAGGTACAGTAAGTTAATATGACACCAACTTACCAGGAGCCGGGTGGTGACGGTGAACGCTGCCACACGTACTCCCACGACACCTTATAATCTCTCTCTACGGACCAAGTACTGGCACACTTCCCTCACCGCTCACCAAGCACTACTGTTGCTGCTGTTGGCGCGAATAAAAAAAAAATAATGCAACAATTCCAAATCCCCAGACACGGTTTCACCTGCCAAAGAGTTGCTAGGATCCGAGTATCCAGAACACAGTTTATGTGCCAAATAGAACCAAGGATTGTACACTGGGTCACACTCAGGCGTGGAGGAAGACCATGACCAGCACTAGGTGGGGATGAGACAGGGACATGGTACACCAGGTGTCCCAGGGGGCGGAGCGTCCCACTGCTCGCCAGGGAGGGGGACCACACACTCGCTGGCCCCAACCTTACTGCCTGGGTCATGTTCCCCTACCTGGCACTACCCCGCGCAGGTGTAGCACGCCCACCCCTGCCTCTACCCCTACACCACGTCCCCCTGCCTCTACCCCTACACTACGCCCCCCTGCCTCTGCCCCTACACCATGCCCCCTTGCCTCTACCCCTACACCATGCCCCCTTGCCTCTGCCCCTAAACCACGCCCCCTGCCTCTACCCCCTACACCACGCCCCCCTGGCTCCCACCCTACACCACGTCCCCCCTGCCTCACCCCTACACCACGCCCCCTGCCTCTACCCCTACACCATGCCCCTGCCTCTGGCTCCCCAAACCACGCCCCTGCCTCTGCCCCCTGAACCACGCCCCCTGCCTCTACCTCACACTACGCCTCTACCCCTACACCACGCCCCGCCCTGGGCCCCCCACACCACGCCCCCACAACCCACACCACGCCCCCCTGCCCCACCCCCACACCACCCCATGCCCCACCCCTACACCACGCCCCCACCCCACCTCTACACCACGCCCACCTGCCCCAATTCCCTCACACCACGCCCCCACCCCACCCCACACCACGCCCCCACACCACGCCCCCGCTCCTACCCACACCACGCCCCCACCTTACACCCCACACCACGCCCCCCTGCCCCCACCCCACACCACGCCCCCACCTCTACACCCTACACCACGCCCCCTGCCCCACCCCTACACCACGCCCCCCCCACCCCACAACCCTACACCACCCCCCCCCCCCTGCCCCACAATCTCCCACACCACGCCCTCCCCCACCCCACACCCCACACCACGCCCCCTGCCTGCACCCCTGCCCACGCCCACCCCACTCTACACCCACACCACAGTACACCTCACCCCACACCTCACACCACGCCCCCCCTGCCTCCCCACTCCCTCACACCACGCCCCCTGCCTCTACCCCCACACCACGCCTCCCCTGCCTCGGCCCCCACACACCACGCCCCTCACTCCCACACCCCTACACCACGCCCCCCTGCCCTCACACCTCACACCACGCCCCCACCCTACACCCCACACCATAAAATAAGAGATTGACATAATTCACCACCAAAATTTAAGACCAAAACCTCTATGTGTCTTCTGATGACCTTAAGGAGAGAGAGAGAGAGAGAGAGAGAGAGAGAGAGAGAGAGAAGTTGGGTAAAAAAATAGTTTGTCAGGTGTTTCATAGTTCACGTGTTGAGTTCTAACATGTAAGGGCCAAAAACAGACATTGTAAACTTAATAAGGAAAAAATATATCTATCCGGCTGACCTCTTATAACGGAAAAAATACACCGGTGAGGAGGAGTGTTCGTTAAAGCAGGTCGTTAAAACAAGGTGCTGCATCATAGGGAACTATTGTACTAAGTTCTGGTAAATAAACGTTATTGTATTAGCTGTTATTACTGTTATTACTGTCGTTGTTATCATTTATTTTACGTTATCCTCCTAGCCACTTGTTACCTTACTTGTCAGTCGGTTATTATTATTATTATTATTATTATTATTATTATTATTATTATTATTATTATTATTATTGTTGTTGTTATCGTTGTTATTATTATTATTATTATTATTATTATTATTATTATTGTTGTTGTTGTTGTTATCGTTATTATTATTATTATTATTATTATTATTATTATTATTATTATTATTAGTAGTAGTAGTAGTAGTAGTAGTAGTAGTAGTAGTAGTATTACTATTATCACTGTTATCATTATCATCGTTATTATTATCATTACTATTATTATTATTTACGTCGTCACAACAGGTAGCTCAGGAGACGGCATGACTACGTTCGCGTATACAGTAGTACAGTAGTCTGTTTCAGTCAACACTGGTCTTACTGGTGACTTTATTAATAATCTCAATAATTATTGGTTTAGTTTTTAATATTCTTATTTAAAAAAATTCTAAAACTGTTCCGATTGATTTTTTTTTTTTGTTCATAATATTTTAGTGTCATTCAACATAACCTGGCGAGCATCACACCAAGCCGAGGTCGAGACGCCACACTGTCGGACGGAGGGAAGGTGTAAATATAGCCAGATATATTTATAACTGTTAGGAGCTTACTGCCGTAGCTATTGGTAACACTGGGTGAGGTGGTGATATTGGTAACACTGGGTGAGGTGGTGATATTGGTAACACTGGGTGAGGTGGTGATATTGGTAACACTGGGTGAGGTGGTGATATTGGTAACACTGGTTCTAGGGGTAGTATTGGTAACACTGGGTGTGGTATTAGTATTTTATCCCTAAAAGTTCCTAGACTCTGGTATTTTATCCCCAAAATTTCCTGGACTTGGTTGATTTATCCCTAAAAGTTCCTATGCTGTGGTATTTTGTTAACAGACTCACAAACAGCTATATACAGTACATGATAAACATTTTCCAGGTGGGAGTCCTGCACTGCATTATGTAAGTCACTTGGGAGACAGCCACATCTTACTGCATAAACATATAATCACAAAATTTAAAGAAATATTTCATGTTTGTTCTCCCCAGTCTTTCTATAGCTCAGGGATCTCGTACTAAACTAAGTTGGCTATTTATAATTAAATTGCTAACGTTCTGTCAGTGTCAGCTGGTGAACATCTCCCATGACACAGGTGTGTGGGGGAAGACGGTGATGGTTCACAGGTGACTCACAAGAGACTGTCATACCTACACCACACGTCTCCTCCTTCGTCACACACACACACACACACACTACTCTGGTAAACTGTGCCTTTTGTCACATACGACCTTTTGAAAGGTTAAACTTTCTTCCCTAAAGTAAACAAATATTCATCCACCAGTTTTGGGGGAATTAACTCTTGACTTCCACTGTTAAGTTTATACAACAACAACAACAACAACAACAACAGCTACTACTACTACTACTACTACTACTACTACTACTACTACTACTACTACTACTACTACTACAACTCCTGCGCTATAGCTACTTTTTTATCAAATTTTCTGGTACCTGCAGCAACAGTTGCTGCAGCTTATCATTTTGGCAGAGCTGTCGTTCTGTAGTAATGGACCTACGAATCTTGTACTACTACAACTACTACTACTACCTACAAACACTGTGTATGTAAAAATATAATCCTTTCGATGAAGACACTTGGAACACTTGTAGGATAAACAAAAATAAAGGTCGGGTGGGTCATCTCCTGGCCCCCAGCTCATAGGTGTTGAAAATTGGCCTCTTTGATGGATCCAGGTGTGTGTTTAGCGTATAATAGTAACAACCACTACTACCACCACTACTACCACCACCACCACCAACACTACTACACGAATTAATGATCATACGACTCCAACGTTTAACCACCATTACGGAAGAGAAACGTCACAAGAACATAACATTATTTAGAAACTTACATATTTCTACATAATTTTCATATTAGAGAGTCGTCCACCCACGCCAGCCCCTCATCACACCACCCACGCCCACCCCTCTTCCCCTCACCACTCACGACGACCCCTCTTCCCGTCACCACCCACGCCCACCCCTCTTCCCGTCACCACCCACGCCCACCCCCTCAATAAAATATACACCAGCGTAAAAGTAACCGAGTGGCCTGACCCAGGCGGCGTGTCACTCACCCTCGCTCCCTCCCCTACCACCTGCCTCCACACAACAACCTCCCTCAGTGACTCCCACACCCTCCCTCATCCCTCACCACACCCTCTAGTGACCCCCACAACCTCCCTCATCCCTTACCATCCCCCTAGTGACTCCCACACCCTCCCTCACCACATCAAGTACTGTGTAGCCAATGTTTCAAGCCGCTGTCACTGCCAATTTCATCATTTTTACTGCTATTATTAACGTCCACATGACAGCCACGACAGAGATCCACATTGCCCACTGTGTCTACTGCAGCCATAACTGTGTTTTAGAAGCTCATAACTTTTTATTATTGTTCATTTTGTAAATCGGCGTAAAATGGCCACAGGTTACGACACCACATATGTGACCCAATCAACCAATCATTTTGTAACACAGTTAATGAAAGGGTAGCAAGCACGGTGAGAGATAGAGAACAAGGTGGATAGATGGCAACACTGTCCCCTCCCTCACGGGTAAACTCAAGCTTTCCCGTGACTTACCTGAAGCTGGGGACGAGGGGATCCGACAGCCGTTCCTTCAGCAGTTTGCCGAGGCGCACGTTTCTGCCGATCTCTCGCAGGAGGCGGTCCCTGGAGGTGAGGAGGGCGCGGGCCTCAGGGTCAGTGCTCAGGCCACGGCCACTCATCTTCTCCACCACACTGGCACACAGGATGTCCAGCCGCTCCAAGTGCTGCACCACACAAAGCAACAGTTAAAAACACAATTAAGACTAAAGCTCTCAAGTTCTCAGTACCACTTTGTCACAATACATTAAGAATAATACAAAATATTCCTGTAACAATAAGTAATAAAACTTGAATTTTGAGACATTCGGCCATATTAATATTTTACTTTTATTATTATTTAACACACCTTCCCTGAGTCCTCCCTCCCGTTCTATCTTTTATTGTCTAAGGTTAATTATACTTCCAACGATAAACAGTGATTAAAAATAACATGGATACAGTATGAGAGAAAGAGACTAGCCTGTTCCATGGTCCTAAAAAAGACGCCGGCGACCCTGAGCCTGGTGAGTTGCTCCTGTGATCCCTTCACAAACATATTCCACACATTCTCCAGGTCCCCCACCATGGTGCGACTCTCTGACAACACGCTGCCTCCCGCCGACTTCTCCACCAGCAGCGCCGCTCTCGCAGATTCGTACCCGTACTCGAACGTGCCTGCAGCTGTTTCCTGTGCATGAGTGTCAGTATCAGGAGGAGGTACTCATATGATCACCCTGTATACTTATGAAATACTCCAGAAATTGTTCCCCTATATTGTCGTTGATTTCTTACATATTAGATACGCAAGCATAATTTATTCAGTTTTCTGATATGAATAAGGCAAGCCTCCGGTAGCCCCCCTTGAGCTATCATAAGTTAAGAAATAGCCTTCAGCACCTTATCAAGCATCAGTTAAAGGATGAGCAGCACCCAGCACCCTCCAAAACACCGTTGAGACGCAGCAGCAGGTAGGAGTAACAGTCTATATATAACCAAGAACTTACCTGGAATTGTAGGTGTTCTGTCTTGAGTCTGCGGATCTCCTCGGACGAGCGACCAACATGAGAATGCGCCTTCACAAGCGCCTCCAACAACGCCTTCAGCCATTTATGAGCCTTAGAATGGTGAAACATTGAGTCAATATTTTTGTTTTTAAGTAATGTTGATATAAAAAGTTGAGAACTGTCAGACCTGGACCAAGGAGCTGGGGACGTGATGGATACAGCTGGTAAGGAGGAACAGTACACAAGTTATCTCGTGTAGATAAGGTACTAAATATTTAACCAAAATACAATGTTACAAAACTGTTAATGAACATCTTTCCTCAACACTCTAGACAAGACAAAATGCACTTGAAGGTGAAGGTTGTAATATGGTGATAAAACATCAAGAGTGAGCATAGCTCCTGTGTTCATTATCATTACAAAAAGAATCATATGACATGAGGGGCATTCCTTATTTTGTTGTGTTGTGTTGTGTTGTGTTGAGCCCAATACTATTTCAACATGACCCGGGAAGTGTGTGTGTGTGTGTGTGTGTAACCAGTATAATTTACATACTGTGTAATTTAGAGTAACTTACAACCATGGATGTATAATTGTGAACATTCATTATTCAATGACCTGTAGAGGGTAAAGGTTGTTCATAGGTTATAGCTGTATTAAACATCCCGCGGATGTTTTGTCTGGCCTGAGTGTCGCAGTATGATGCGACTCCCTCTCTCAGTAGTAGGTAATTCTTTAAACACTGAATAGGTTGCTCATTTGTGGTAATCGGATACTTTGCTTTACACTTGCAATGCGTCAAGTATGTTAGATAGTTAGTTAAGTAATATATAGATAATGACACCGTCAATTAAGAGTGATTCATGGGTCAAAGTGATCAATTACCAGCCGGTTGTTTATACTCGTTATGTAAACACCGCTGACTGTAGAGTTGCTTGACATTCCAAGGAGACGACTACTTCCTCCTTCGAGAACCTTCCAGAAGCTTGACTCATAGATCGCTCTGGTGGCGGGTGCAGGAATTACTATCTACGGGCGTGGCATAACCAAGCCCCCAGTCAGTCTTGAACTAGACCCCTTTGAGTAAACATCTACACCTGGACCACCTCAATACGGGCACGCCTAACACAGAGCCTACCTCAGGTTCTAGCGCGGCCCACAGAACGGTTCCAGTAATAGATCACGGGGCCAGTCTAATTATCTGTACAGTATTTGGACTTGTAAATATCACACTGTAATATACACCAGTTTGGGGTATAATTTATCCCCCTTTTTGTGGAAGAAGTGACCGCTCTGTTGGACCATAATTATCGACAGTCTCAGTCATCCTACTCATATCAACGGAACTCTAAATAACTACAATCAAATTAATATTTAGTGAGACTGTATATTGACAAGTCTCACTCCTCACAGGCCTACAAGCCACAGGCCTACATGTGTGTGTATGTGTGTGTGTGTGTGTGTGTGTGTGTGTGTGTTATATGACAAACCCAACAAGAGAGCCATAAAGTATATAGGGGTGTGAAGGACAGCATCAAATGGTAGTGTATAAGGTGAGGGACCAGCCTGTGTCCCGGACATTACCTGCTTCACATCTCGTTGGCAGGTGAATAATTGTATGTTTTGCTGCAGCCGTAGTTTGTGCAGGTCAGCCTGGCGTGCTGCACGTGCATAATGCTCGTGCTGGGCAGTGAGGAGAGCATGCACGTGGTTGAGCTCAGCTGTGTAGTCTGGAGTAATGTCCCGGCCGCAGAGGTCCTTCACTCCCACCGTCAGCAGGTCCAGGAGCTTCTCTCCAGCCCGGGTGCCTTCTGACGCCAGGTAGTCTGCCACACATAACATTGAATTTATTACTTATTTCTTACTCTCGAGAGCCTCAGCCTCAGCCTTCTGCCACTATTGTAGGCGGCCGGAACCAACAACAGCCTCTTTGACCTGTTATCATTCATTCCTCTACCTGCCGTGACCAGGCCCTGTCCTATGGGAGTGAAAGGCTGGCCAGAAGGGGTTGCGTGGCTTGTAGCAAACCAGCCTTTGAAGATCCTCCTTAAATTTAATTTTAATCAAGACCAAACTTGATCTGTTAAAAAAACAAAAACTTTTCCCAGCGCCACATAGAGACCACACCCTGACTATAGGATTAAAAGATCCAATAAAGAGTTCAACACCAAACTCTCTTATGATTCACTCGCAGTACTTCCTTCAGCACATCCTTCCAACCCCATCTCTCCTTCCTACAATTACTTCATCATTCTACTTCGCTAATTCTTCCCCTTATCTGGTAGAGGAAAAGTACAGAACAGTACTGCAAATATTTTAATATACTGTAATGTTTACTTGACCAATATTCCTTTACAGTGTACGAAATAAAATTTATTATTGATTAAGACAATTAGTTAACACAATTAATTCAATATGACCTGAAGAGAAGTGGATACATTTGTTTCTTGGTGTTTCTCCTTTGACTCGTCTAGTTGGTATTTTGGCAACAATGTTAATACACAAAAACATTCACTCACTCTTACCAATGGCTTCCTTGCGAGCAGTGAGTTCTCTTAAGGTCTTCTTGAGCGTGTCGACGTGGTCGGTGTGAGGCAGCCAGCGGTGCTGCTGCAGGAGCACGTTGCACCTCTCACCCATTTGATGAGCGATGCGGTGGAACCTGACGGAGGCGAGGATGAGAGTGCGCCTCCGGTCCAGCCGAGACGCAAACGTCCTACAGGAAACAGTCATTATTTAGTATGGCCGAGAGAATTAATGGAAGTATAACAGACATTATCGGACAAGTTACAAGGGTGATAGTAAATACATTAATATGATGTTAGAAAAATCAATAAAACAAAAATAAAAGACACTGACACTCATATTAAAACGACCTTAAAAATTCTCTGCACAAACAGAAGGAAGACAGAACTTGACCAACTATAAGATATACACTACTCGTTCATTGTTGAAAAGACAAAGGTAAATACTTGCATAAGCAGATATGAGGACAATTAAACACTCTCTTATATAACACTTTCTCTCCTCACCAAAACTTCACAACAAACGAGGGAAAAAGTCCATGTGAGAGACTCGTCAAAGTTTAGGCGAACAAAAATCAAATAAATCAACGATGAAAGAGACATTCAGGTTGGGTTTTGTTCGGTGTACCTGACGAGGGTGTCGGTGTAGTCCTTGAGAGAGCGGAGGTCGGTGGTAGTGGTGCGGTGGTCAGCCAGGGAACGGAGGTCGCCATCACCACGGTCCAGGGCGTCCTCCACCTTGTATCTCAGACCCGCCCACCGTCCGTACGTCTCCTGGGGAAGAACACGAGTGAAACAGTTTTAATGACATGCAAGATCACCAAAACAAACCACAGTCATTTAGCGAGATAATTCCATAAATTTCCTAAAATATAGCAGAGAAACAAAGAGAAATAATCATCAGTACATTAATATTAGTTAACCTCCCTCACACAACAATAAGGTCAACATGCTTGTACAGTACAACACTTAACAACAGTAGTGGTGTAGTTACCCGGCATTTGAGCTCTATGGCCTCGTGTTCCCTGAGGAGTGCCTCGGCCTGGTCGGTGGTGGTGCCGATGCTTGTCTCCGCCAGCAGCGTCTGACCTGCCGATACCAGCCACTGCCCGATGTCGTTCATATCGTTCTCCAGTTCACGTACCTGCACACAGCAACACGGACACCAAGTTTAGTTACTGACTGCTCCATCACACGGACAGTCAAGGACACCTTTCTCTGAGCCAACACAATACAGTAAGTTACTGGAGGACACCATAATGTACAGTCCCCTTCACTAGTGCATTTACAGTGGCTCGTTATATAAACATTCAACAAATCTTTATATTTTAGATATTTGTTTTAATATTGTTTTGCTCTGAATCCATAGTATGTTTACTATTGCGAGTTTCCTTCTGTCGAATGTAAACAAACACAGGACCGCCAGACTGCACAAAACCTGACGAGCCCCTGTAATCGCACTTGTGAAGGGGGCTGTACCTACAGTATATCATGATGTTCAACAGTTTTAAAGTTACTTGTTAATACTACAGCTACGTCAGTCTAACACATGATTGGTTAATATGTACTGTTGCCAACACCAGTACAGTTTAAGAAAATTAACTATTGATTAAGTGTTGACAACATACACAATACGTGCACTGTAACCCACGACGTTCACACTTGTTACCTCATTGATCAGAAAGCTATACAGTTATACACACTTCAGAGTACACATGTTAGCACACTTAATGAACATATAGGTTGGATAGATATATGAGCGATAGGGATTGGGTGTAAACGGGGCTGCCTAGTATGGGGCCAATGGATCCGCCGCAGTTTCCTCATTTCTTACGTTCTTATTACAGATTGCACAACAACTGTAGTAATCAATACAGCATAATACAGTAAAGAGTTCAAGTAAGTAATTAAGTACAGCAGTGGCACCAACTTTAAAGACGACATTACATGGTAAATAACATACTTCCTTCACACAAATGTTCCCTGTGGAGGTTTTGTCCTGACCTGCATGTAGGTATCAAGAGCCGTGTTGAGTCTCCTCCAACAGGCCTCGACGGCGGTGGTAAGGAGGTGGAGGTCGTGAAGCATCGCCCTCACCCTGGAGGCCGCCTCGGCTGCATCACCTTGACCCTCACACACACGGAACCCGGACTCCTCGTCCATCTCCAGAACCTTCAGTACCTCTTGACCTGTCAGGTGACGAGGGGCGGCCATTAATTTATCAACGTCTTGACAACATTATCATTCTAACTAATATATTGTATACACCTCAAAACCTGCCATTCTACAGTAAGGAAGAACTTGAACACATAAAATCGTAAGCCTAATTGAAACTCTACCCATGTTGAAGATGACGGACGGCCTGGCAGTGATGGTGTTGTAGGTGTTGGTGTTGACGGAGAGGAGGTCGTGTAGGGTGGAGGCACGGCTGCATGGCTCCTCTCGACGAAGTTCCACCTGCAGCGTCTCCAGGTCACGACGGGCGCGCTCACACTCGTCTACAAACTCTTCATACGCCTGGCGACGGGTAGAACAGATCAGTGGTAAATAGGAGTTGCTGTACACCACAGTCAACTATGTTATGTAACAAATGGGAGTATAGTTCAAGACAGCCTGAGGATGAGAGGAATAATAATAATAGATGGTGAACTTAATATAGAGTACTGGGAGAATAAAAGACAACAGTTAGATGATAATATTACCAGTGAGAGAAGAAAAGGCTGTAATATAATGTACAAAATGATAAAATGAAGAAGAGTTGGTCCAGGTTAAGCTGGCTCTCACTGCCCAGAGATGATCCACACCTTGCGTGTCTTGAGCCAGGCGGTGTGGTCATAGTCCAGTGTACCTCCCAGTTCTACCGGCAGCTGAGACAGTTCCATGTACCGCGTCAGTTTACTCACACTCACATAGATCGGCTGTGGACGAGGAAAGAAAAATATATTGAGACAGTGATGTTGACTTTAGACTGGTGGTGGGACGGGGATGACATGTAGAGGAGATCCTGCTGAATTGAGAGAGTTTATGACTCATTATGACAAGGGTCAATTGCCTCTAGTTTGGCTGTGAAGGACATCTTGAAGAGCAGTTGTTACCGCTGGCCGTGTTGTGGGACATGTTAACACGGACCTGCTAGGGGTCAGGTTAACAACGTTCACTTACATTTTAATTTAAATTCATTCCGCCGCGAGAGACACATGGTAGTGTTTATAGTCTGTTCACTCGAAGCTTCCAACTGAGGCCTAGGATCAGTTTGTAACAAAACAGCTGATTGGTTGGCAGACGGAAACGGGGAAAATCAATTCAGTTCTTTAGTCCTTAATCTATCGTCTTTATATTCTGCTATTTTAAGGGATAATTACCATTCTATATTGATCTCTGATAATTTCCGCACTTGAAGAAGAAAATATTAGCTTGTGAAATACTCCAACTAAGATGATTTCATTAGATTCGCTGTTTATGTCAACTTGTAAAACTTAAAGTAATTTCAGCCAACTTAACCCTGCCATAGTTGACCCTCACAGGACACAAACAGATAAACAAGACCACCACCATCACCAGTCCTCACCTGACTATCAACCTCACTCTTGCGACAGTCGACTCGCTGTTTGTCCCAGAAGCCCTCGGGCCTCACGACGAAGAGGTGCCTGATGTATCCGAGGGTGGCGCGGACAGTGCTAACGGTGGGCTTGACGAGGCGGTAGTGGCACACCCTGGCGTCCACGACCACCACCCACCCACGCTCCCGGGCACTCAAACTGTACAACACAAACAACTCCTTAATAAAAATTGATAAAATATACCTTGTGGCGCTGTCTATTGTTATACACTAAATATACAGTAACTTAAATATCAGTAGTGATATATTAAAATTATAATATCTATGACAGTTTGATGAGTAATCCAGGCACTTGACGATGGCGTGACTAACCTGGGGATGGTCTTGAGGTACTTGACGGTGGCGGAGATGGCCCCGGAGTCATGACAGCTGGGGTCCTGGGGCAGCGGGATGATAAGTATAGGTCCGCCTCCTGGGTCCCGTGAACCTGGTAACACCGCCAGCCGCCGCTCCAGTAGCCCCTCCCACTCACTACTACCCATTTTCTCTTACATTCTCTCTGTAACCAAAGAAAACCTGGCTTATTGGTAGTCTGTGATAAATAATACTGATGGAGACATACGGTACAGTATAGATAGATATACAGTGTTAAATCGTCATGCAAGTTTACAGTTGTTCCACAGGTACAGTCCCCTTCACTTGTGCGTTTACAGGGGCTCGACAGGTTTTGTACAGTGTGGAAGCCCTGTGTTTGTTGACATTCGACTGAAGTAAACTCACAATAGTAAACATACTATGGAATTAAAGTAAACAATATTAAAACAAATTTCTCAATATAATGATTTGTGGAATGTTTATATGACGAGCCTCTGTAAACGCACTAGTGAAGGGGACTGCACATAAACAAAGCAGACACGCATTGTCTATAGCTATACAGGTTGACTGAAGCAGCGCTGAGTGAAGATCAATTTAACTGTGATATCAATACCAACCTGCTCACTGGCATTAGTAATGTTTATAACACTTGATGTGAAGCAGAACCAGGGAAGGGAAGAGAATATGTGTCAGACATGACCCCCCCCCCTCATACATGACCGCGTCTCCTACCTCTGACGTGAACCCCCACCCCTTCCCACTTCACCTGAGAGCTGAGCCCACACTAAGAAGCCCCACAAGGAGCTGAGATCTGCCAAGACTTCTCCAGCCAGCCTGGCTACACCCACCCACCCACCCACACGCACGCACACACACACACACACCCACCCACCCACCCACCCACCACCCACCCACCCCCACACACACACACACACACACAACCATCCTCTCCCTGTCCTACACTACATATCATGAGGCGCTCGATACACTGACTCTCTGATGGTCACCATGACCTCATCTATCAGTTTGGGAAGTAGTTTCAACACCATCCTCGCCACCGTCTCCTGCTACCACCTGAGATCCCACGTTCACGAATTATTATTGTTCAACATGACAACCGCACCCAGCCCATACGACCACGAACTGATCGCTATAGGAGCAGCCCCATCCCAACACCTCGTAGATAACCTGTGTGGTCACTCCCTGCCAATCTCATCTATGTATTGTTACTTAGCTGAAATTCCTCGTTAAATGACCCTCTCCTCCTTGTTATTATACAGTATATTATGACTATACAGGATGCACTACTTCCGTCATTTGAATATTTTCAGTATAAAACTACTGTATTTGTTAATAAATTATTATTATTATTATTATTATTATTATTATTATTATTATTATTATTATTATTATTATTATTATTATTACAAAGTGAGTGACAGCGAGAGAGGGAGATATTTTTTTATAGTCACATGATTTTACAGTAATTCTACAACCCTCAATGGTGAAGGGTCAAGGATCACCCACTCCTCCTTCACCTCCCTCCCTCCAGGGTAACCTTCTTCCATCTCCCTCCCTCCAGGGTAACCTTCTTCCATCTCCCTCCCTCCAGGGTAGCCCTCCTCCACCTCCCTCCCTCCAAGTTAGCCCTCCTCCACCTCCCTCCCTCCAGGGTAGCCCTCCTCCACCTCCCTCCTTTCAGGGTAGCCTTCCTCCACCTCCTTCTCTCCAGGGTAGCCTTCCTCCACCTCCTTCTCTCCAGGGTGCCTCCTCCTCCCTCTCCAGGGTAGCCTCCTTCCTCCACCTCCTTCTCTCCAGGGTAGCCTTCCTCCACCTCCTTCTCCCAGGTACCTTCCTCCACCTCCTTCTCTCTCCAGGTGGCCTTCCTCCTCCACCTTCTCTCCAGGGTAGCCTTCCTCCACCTCCTTCTCTCCAGGGTAGCCTTCCTCCACCTCCTTCTCTGGGGTAGCCTTCCTCCACCTCTTCTCTCCAGGGGTAGCCTTCCTCCACCTCCCTCCCTCCAGGGTAGCCCTCCTCCACCTCCCTCCTTTCAGGGTAGCCTTCCTCCACCTCCTTCTCTCCAGGGTAGCCTTCCTCCACCTCCTTCTCTCCAGGGTAGCCCTTCTCCACCTCCTTCTCTCCAGGGTAGCCCTTCTCCACCTCCTTCTCTCCAGGGTAGCCCTTCTCCACCTCCCTCCCTCCACTACCCCCGCTCTCCAGGGTAACTTTCCCTCCCTCGACCACAGGACGGCTCGACTCTCCCTCCCCCAGGAGAATGTGATCCCCTGCGTGTAATTCCACTTTCCGTTGTGGGTAGCGGTAACATTACAACGCCAGAGGATGAAGGTGTCCTCCTGGTGGGTCAGGGAGGACGGTGGCTACATACATCATAACGGGAGAACCGACCGTACGATTATAATGGAGTGGTACATTGTTCCCTCTACACCACCCACCAATCACCATATATTCCCGACGCTTGATTCGCGGCTGCCCGTTCCTGGAAATTAACCTGAGGTCTGTGTCCGCACGCAAACATGCAAACAAGCAGGCACGCAACCTAATACACACGCAACCTCCCGCCCATACACACACATTCCTGTGGACAAACTCAAACATACAAACCTATAAATACATCACTTGTTTGGTTTCTTAGACAATAACAGGTGATGTAATGTAAATTCCTAACATGTAAACTTGACTGTAAACCACGACCATAGTTTACAAGACAGTGTTTGCCAGGCTGGACGATCACCTCTTACCCACATGACAGGGTGTACCTTAAGGGGTGATGGTTCAGACAAGACAATGACAACTTCTCGGAATAATATCTTAGGTTCACACGTTTCATCACGTTACTTCGGTGAACACAATACTTGGTTTAGTTAGTAAAAGTTTGTTTATAGTGTCAGTCATCACTATACTACTATACAAAACACTATCATCACTATACCACAATACAGAATAAAAATTGGAACCACATTTATACTTCCAATAAACTGACTAAAAAATAATCCCAGACAAAAATAAAAAATAAAAAAAATTAAAAATAGCAGAACAATATTATACTACGGGAACAAAAACAACATGAGGGTATATAATGACTAAATTCCCTTCTTAATTCACGATATTTTCAACCTTATCGTCACAACACCCCGATACTGTGCCATTACTACTACTACTTTGCTGTCACTCGGAATCAAGTATGACGATCATCCAGCTATGATACAATGATATGAGTTATTTGGGATGTCACCTAGGTTGGTGAGTTCTGAGGTGACTAAAGAGGCCGATATGGGACCCGCAGCATCGTCCACATTCGTTGCACATGTGGAGGGCTCCATCTACTTTGGGAGGGGCGGTGGCTCCGTCTTTCCGACGTTGGCGCTTGTCTGCCTCGGTTTGAAGTCGGGCTAACTCGAAAATATTGACACGTTCTCGTGTGGTGCTTCTCCAAGCGTTGCGACGTGGAGTAATCGGCTCCCAGGTGAGGGGGGCGATTTGGCACTTTTTCAGGTTTGTCTTAAGACTATCCTTATACCTTTTCAGTTGCCCGCCAGCGTTACGTTTACTATTCGTTAGGTGACTGTAAAGTAGCTGCTTTGGCAGTCTACTGTCGTCCATGCGGATAACATGGCCAGTCCAACGAAGTTGTTCATGGATAATGGTAGCCTCGATGCTCCTACAGTTGGTGTCAGCAAGAGTACTGGCACTAACGACCTGAATCACCCACTCAATTAGCTAACTACCGTAACTACTTTAATGATCTTAACTATAACCACCACGACGATAATGTTCCAATATAGTAACGTTAACCATTTGATAGATAGATATAGTGTGACCTAAGATAACAAGTTTATATTAAAGATAACAAGAGTTTAGCTATACGCACGCCAAGTACCTACCTGACATAGTTTACTTTACTCCAGACAAGACAATGATCTTGGTGGTGGAGTAAAAAGTACTAGTAACAATGGTGGTGGTGGTGGTAGTAGTAGTAGTAGTAGTAGTAGTAGTCGTAGTAGTAGGTCAAGCAAGTGGCGTACGCTGATGACCTTACAGGAGCAGGAAAAGTGGAGGACATCAAAAAGTGGGGGGACCTGGTAACATCACGAGGCCCACAAATAGGGTACCACCCAAACGCCAGCAAGTCCTTCCTCAATGTGAAGCCAGAACATTATGAACGGGCAATGGAGGTGTTCGGTGGAAGTGAGGTCAAAATAACAAAGGATGGCCAAAGACACCTAGGCACAGTAATTGGCACGACGGACTTCAAAACCGATTAGTAACGGGAAAGGTGAATGAGTGGGTTAGGGAAATCCAAGCTCTGTCTGAGATTGCTTACACAGAGCCACATGCGGCTTTTGCGGCATTCACCCATGGAGTCAAGCATCGCTGGAACTACCTGATGCGCACTATCCCTGATATCGGACCCCTCCTCCACCCTCTGCAAGAAGCTATCAGCGTCAATTTCATTCCCAAATTAGTGAAACACCTTCACTTAACCCCAGCAGAAAGGTCACGCCTTGCACAACCACCGAGACTGGGAGGAATGGGACTAACCAATCCAGAGTAGATTGCTGCCACTGAACATCAAAACTCAGTTAAGCTCAAGGCAGCCCTCGGACCACATAATAGTTCAGAACGCAACAGGGGAGGTGGATACCAGTGAAGTAAACCAGATTCGAAGATCCATTACGACAGAACGACAGCACGGCCAAAGTGATAAGTTGCAGCAACTGTTGCTGCAAGTACCAGAGAATTTGAAAAAAAAAGTAGCTATAGCGCAGGGGGTGGGCGCCTCGAACTGGTTGACTACGTTACCGATAAGGGCAAATGGTTTCAGTCTCAATAAACAAGAATTTACAGATGCCAATGCTCTAAGGTACGGTAGGCCAGTAGAAGGTTTGCCCTCCCAATGCGTGTGTGGCTCTTCCTATGACGTCGATCACACCATGCATGAGGCATGACGAAGTAAGGGATCTCACAGCAAATATGTTGAAGGAAATCTGCCGTGATATCATGGTAGAACCGACCCTCCTTCCATTGGACGGTGAGATCTTCCAACATAAGACTTCAAACACATCCAACGAAGCCCGTGTTGACGTCAGTGCTCGAGGATTCTGGACGCGGGGACAGCGAGCCTTCTTCGACATAAGGATTTTTGATCCCATGGCCGCATGTCACCGTAACTTAGCTCTCGATGCTGCACACAGG